GACTAATTTTGTTAAATTGAAGAGACTCAAGAGTTATCATGAGTTTCTATTTTTAGTGTTTGTCTGCCATACTGAAGCAAATGGTGGACAAGTTATAATTTCAAAGAGTTATATCTTTGGCAATTTTTAATTATTTTAAAATAAATCGTGTATTTTGGTTGAGGTCACAAAAATGTCATTGCATTGAGTGTAAGACATATCGTGCAGAACTGTTAATATACGAGGTCCTGCCACAAAAATGTCACCTTTTCCCATCTCTGTCTTGACAGTTATCACATTGCATTTCAATTTGGCTTACATATCTGTCTTCTTCACTAGACTGAGAACTCCTTAAGGTCAAGGACCTCATTTTATTCACCTCTATATCCCCAGGATGTAACAAGTCTTTTGCACTCAGTAAGAATGCAATAAATGTTTTTAGGGGAATAAAGTGTTAAAAAATAGATTTGGTTAAACAGCTAATTTCCTAATTTGGATTTAATTATTTATTTACTTTTTGCCTTCTAGTCCTGAGTATTGCATTAAATATTATATTTTGCTTTATTCTCTTGCAGTCTTTTACAGCGATCTCTTAGGGGATCTAATATAATTTTCAGTAGAAGCCGATATGCTGGGGAAATTGATTTCTGATGAAGATTAACACTCCTTATACACACAAAGAAAGTTTGAGCCAGTAGCACATAACACAGTCATAAAACATGAATTTGAATAGCCTGTACAAATAAAATAAATTCTGAATGAGAATAGAAAAGAAAGAAAAAGAATCTTTCATTTCAGATCAGATTCATCTAGAGATCAACTATTTGGCTTTTTGAAACTACTGAGGTAATCCAATTAGCTAGGACTATTCCACTGATCTGGGTTTTTCTGATACGCTTTAGGCCACTAGGCCATCTTTTTTTACTCTTTGATATAGAAAAAGAAAGTGAACAGTGTCAATATTTGTTTTATGCATAACACTGACTGGCTTATTTTAAGTTTTAGGAAACTTCCAAGAAGAAAATTATCATCATCGCTGAGAAGAACGGGCAATATTTTCAAATTCATCCTTGATTAAAATTAGATGGCAAATCTCAAATCTTTGCATCCAAATTTTTCATGGCCTTTTCAAAGCTTCTAGGAGTGCATTACATTTTGTGAACCATGCATGTGGGCTCTATAAAAAGCAGCATACAAAGCAGGGTCGACCTAGCATCAATACATTCCAAGTTCAGCACATGTAACTATAATGTTTTAACACCTCAGTATTCAAGGTATAATATAAATTAATACAATGTAATGCAATGTTATTTTTTCTTAGAAAAAATATTGAAAATATATTCCTTTTTGACTGCCAAAAAAAGAATTATCTCTGGTATATAAAAGTTTGTTTGTTAAATTTAAAGCTCAATTTACCTTCAGAGAAAGAAAATAAATTGAAGATAAAACCCATTGCCGTCAAGTCGATTCCGACTCATAGAGACAACTAAATTGGATTTCTGTGTGTGTTTTGTACACTGCTTTTGTCTTACATTACCACAGGCGGCTTCAGCTGTATAGGTCTGCCTTGTGAGAGCAGTAGTTTTCAGATTATTTTGTTAAGAACATATTTATCATCTCAAAATATATAGTTATTTGGTTAAGATTAATCGTCTTTCAGCATTATAATGTGAATGCAATTTAGCAACAACCAAACTGTCATCACTATGTCAGCAAAATCATATGTAAATTTCTAGAACCTTGTGGATGACTAATGGGTTACACTATAGGAGAGAGAAAGTCAAGACGTTTATTTTCCTCTAGAGATACAACAAATATCTGTACTGATGCAAACTCCATGCACTAAAAAGTATTTATTTCTACTGAAAATTTTCATTTACTCTATTGTTTTTAGAAATATGCCAAACTGAAAAATGATAGTAACCCTCAAATAAACATATAAACAGTTACTCTAGGCCATGTTTTCCGAAACTACCTTAAAGCTGATACTCAGGATTTCCCACATTTCTCATTTTGCATAAAACGGCTCCATGGGATCCTTGTCCATAGGAAAAACTGAATTGAGAATGATCTGGAGAAAACTAATTAATGTTTGTTCTGTCTATCTATTGTTGCTTAACAAACTACCTCTAATTTTGCGGCAAATGACAAACTATTTTGCTCATGATTTTTGGGGTCATCAATTTGGGAAGGGTTCTGCTGGGTGATTTGTGTTGAACCTACATGACATAAGCCAGGGCAGTTTGAGCTGGAGGATTCACTTCCAAGGTGGCTTCTTCACTCACATGTCTGGTGCCTTGGCCTCTCTCTCTACATAGTGTCTCACCCTCCAAGGCCTCTCAATGAGGTTTGAGCTTCTCACAGCATGGCAGTTTCTGGGTAATTAGACTCCTAACACTGTGGTTGGCTTCCCCCAGATTGAACAGTCCAAGAGACCTGGACAGAAGTTACAATGTATCTTTTGACACAGCTTCAGAAATCCTAGACTGTTACTTCTGCCATATTCTATTGTTCAAGTATTTTCCTAAGGCTAACCTAGGTTCAAGGGGAGGGAAATGAGAAACTACCTTTAGATAGTAGGAGTAGCAAAAAGAAAAAAAAATCCATGGCCAATTTTAATTTACCACAATGTTGCCTCAAATTTTAAGTGTTGGGATTTGGGAAACCCAAGCTTGGTAAAGTGCTTAGCCATTTGGATTGGATTGCTGCCATTTTTTTAAAATACAAGTTTGAGGATGTCTACAGCTGAATGTGCTTAATAAAATTTAGAAACAGAGGGAAAATCATTTGCAGAAGTTTTCATTATCTTACTGAATTCTGAAAGTTTTCTAGCCATGGACAGGGATATCCAATAGCCCCAGTTATCCTTCCCTATCTCTTTTTACACCTGAGGTTTTCAAAACCATCATCATTCTGACTGCAGACTTCCCACTGAAACCGAGGGACTCTTTAACACTTATACCACTCCTAATGTCACTTTACTATTGAGGTATACAAGCAAGTTACACAATGATTTCCAGTTATGAATAAATAACACTGTGGAAAAAGTTAAAATCGGTTAAGATTAACCAGTCATGTGCTCATTGAAATGCCAACGATCTGGTTTGACTGATTTTGTTTTTCTTTGTCTGAATTATACGGTTCTTTTAACATCTCAGAGAAACGGTCTTTCTGGGATGAAAAATGGGCAGGTCTCCATCCTTCCGTCATTAAGTTGTTCCAAACTGTGTTACAGACTGAAAACTGAAAAGCTCAGCATTGCATCTAATGTAAATTGGAAACAAATGATTTAATTAATTGTACAGAGTGGTGGTGGGGTGGGGTGTTCTGGCATATATATCGGAATTTGTATTTATACAAAGCACACATCTTAGAGAAGTCCTGAACAGCACATACAGGTGTTGTACCCAGTGAACCTGAATGAAATGTACCCTCTACAAGGGCCCCTCTCCTTGCTTTAAAGCAGTACTTCTCAAACTTTTCTGTTGAAGTTTGCCTAATGGCAGAGGAGAATGAAGGAGTATCCCCCTCCTAAGGGCCACAAGCACAAAATGTACTCATGCTTTATTTGAAACATTTGAGTGAATTTTGTCTTATACTCCATAATATATCAGTTTCCATATAAAAACAATTTATCTACTCAAATTTTCCATGTAAACTAATGATACAAGATCATCTTATGACTTCATGTATCCCCTGGTAAACCATAGAGTACCCTTGAACTATTGTTATCCAAGTTTGAGATGGAGACATGTTAGTAAAAATTATTGAGGGTGGTCAGCACATCTAGATTTGGCATTAACAAAATGTAATGACTCCACAAAATAATATGGGGGGTTGGGGTGGGAGAGAAATAGTCTAATATTTCAAGCTTTATCTACAAAATTGTCACCACTTCCTCAGGCCACTCTTGACATGTTTATTTTATATTCCCACTGTTTTTTTTTTTAATACTTAAATAACTTTGGTACTTATACTGCTAGGCTTCATTTAAAAATTAGGATGTGCTACATTTCACTTTAGAAAAATGAACAAGCTCTTACTAATGTAATTTTCTCTCTCCCATTTTCAACATACAAATAAGCCTCTAACAATCCAAGCTGGATTGGAAAGCTCAAAAGTTGAATAAAAATTTCCAAAATGATTGAAATATTGGGGCCAATTCATCTTCCTTGGCTGTATAATAGGTAGGTACCACTATGGTCACAGGTTTCAATAAATCATATATCCAAAATAAGCCTAATACATTTCCAGCATATTTACTCAGTTCTCTTGTGGTTCTCTCAGATTGCTAGGATGAAACCCAAGATAGATGAAAGTTCACAGATGCTAAAGGAAATGGTTTAGGTTAAAGGCTACAGTTTAAAAGAGATCCTAGCAGCCCTCTGATTTTCAAGCCTACAGTTCTTGAAATACAAGGATTTGTGGTAGGGGACTCAAAAAAGAGGCTCAACATCTTGTGTCCTTATTTGAGTCAGTAAAAAGACAGTAGCACCCATAAATCAACTTGTTACTTTTCCCAACACCATATGATTCATAAATATTCAGGATCCCAACCTAAAAACAAGTTTTAAATATCCCTGGATTGTGTTATTGGAAATAATATTATTAAATCATTTTAAAGGCTGTACTGAAGGGCTGTCTTTTATTTTAAGAAGTGCTAGGTCTCTAGGAGTTAACACTCTCCAAATAAAACATTTTGGCTGACATGTACAAAAAGTTTTCTGTACCAGTCATCAATGCAAGACATCCGTGAATCTATCAATCACAGAGTTAAAAAGCTCTGTCGTACTGCACACTTAATACCCAGTGTAACCAATTAGTATTAACCATTCCTTGATGGAATACAAACTCATTTCCTTCGACTGCTATTGCACTGAACTCCAGGGTTATAAATGAGCAGATGCAAATTGATTTGCATGTAATAGCAGTGGCAATAAACCTTTCCTGGTTCATGCAATTTTCCTCATCTGTTAACAGAGAGCAAGTTTAGGATCTATTATTCCCAAAAGGGGACTTACCCAGCTGGACATCTATAACACTTGGTTGATTCTCCATGGGGAACAATGGCTTGGGAGGCTTGTCTGTGAGTAAAGCTAGAAAAGAAAATGAAAGAAGGTAATGGAAAAATTGAGATAAATACAGGATAAAAAAAAGATTCTACCGTGTATGATATTTAATGCTTGTAGACTTGATGGTGTGTAAACATTTATTAGACAGCGTTCCTACTTGGGTTGTTACTCTATCCATACAATATCCATTTCCCAGCACATTTACAGCACCATTGATTCACTGTAAATAGACCATTTTGACAGCTACATTTTCCAACAAGATCAAACAAATGGACTATTTTTGAGTGGTTTTTATAAGCTTGTGAGTGTAAAGAAATATAGATTTTAAAAGTATAATCAGAGAAACATAAATTCCCATATCTACTTCTTGGTAGTTCTAAATATTTTCAATGAAATATAATGCTAATGGACAATTCTGGTGGAATGAATGTTCTAAGCCTCTGAATAATCCCTGTACCCCCACCTCAACCTCTAAAACAATATATTGATCAAAACTACTGATTGAGCATCTTTTGTGCGCCAAGTCCTGTGTTAGGTGCTAAGGGAAAAGGAAATAAAAGTCTTATCCTTGCCCTCAATTAATTTTTAATCTAGTATTATGATCACAGGACTGACACACCAAGATAAACAGAATACAAGACAGAATACAATCTAGTGAACAATGGTAACATCTGAGCTATAAAGCTATATGTGCTACAGGAATGGAGAAAGGAGAGGTTAGTATTGGCTAGCAGGGTTGGGGAAAGTTTTATGAAAGAAATGGGTCTTTCCCATCTCTTAAGAGATGAAGAATATTAGGAAAGGCAGAGAATAAGGAAGAAGAAATTCAGGGCAGATTAACAACACAAACCAACGCACAGAGGTAGAATTTAAGAAGCATAATGCGGTTAGAAGAGAATGATCTGATGAGGTGGGGTTTGGTGGATTGGGTTGGAGGGCGAGTTGCTTCATGATATGTAGCAGTGAGAAATGAAACTGGATACACAGGATGGGGCTTGATTCTGGAGGGTCCCGAGAACCATGCAGATGAATTTGGGCATGATGTGATAGAGCAGAGAGTGAGTGTAGATTATTGGAACAAAAAGATTACTCAAGGGAAGTGCTGTCGAAAGATGATTGGCTTGGCATATAGCATGGGTTGCAAAAGAACAAAACTAGCTACGAGAAGGAGGTACAATGCTGCATTAGTAGGATGAGGGGTCAGACTAGGGTGGAGTCTGGGGAAACAAAGAAAAAGGGATCAAATCTGAGAAGTACCTGGAAGAAAGAAATGACAGGACTTGGCACACAGGTACGTAATGCCTTATGCCAACCCTTAGACTGAACTAATATTTATTTCCTGAATTCCTGTTTAATTCTTCCTGTATTTGTGTCTTGCTTCAACTATCCAACTAGACTCTTACCTATCAAACAGAAATGTCTTCTACTTCTTTGTAATCCACAGGAGGTATAGCATAGTGCCAGGCATATAAGAGATAATCAATACAGAAGAACTAGATAGTGCCCAGATACCACAAATGACCACTCTGACAGGGATCACAACAGAGAAAAATGTAGAACAGAATTCAAATTCATGAAAAAAGGCCAGACTTACTGGTCTGACAGAGACTGGAGGAACCCCTGAGACTACGGCCCCTGGATATTCTGCTAACCCAGAACGGAAACCGTTCCCAAAGCCCACATTTCAGACAAAGATTAGACAGGCCTATAAAACAAAACACAACACACAAAGAACGTGCTTCTTAATTCAATCAAACATATGAGATGAAATGAGCAACTTCTTCCAAAAGTAAGCCGAGAAGGCAGGAAGGGACAGGAGCTGGACGAATGGTCACAGGGAACGCAGGGTGGAAAGGTGGAACAACGTGCTGTCACATTGCATGGATTGTAAACAATGTCACAAAACGTGTATAAATTTTTGAATGAGAAATTAACTTGAGCTGTAAACTTTCACCTGAAGCACAATAAAATTTTAAAAAAAGATAATAAATCATTGTTAATTGACTGGTTAAAGAATTTCTGTTGGCATGAGGGAGGTTGAACTCATATTTAGGATATTTAGAAGAGAAATAGAGAAACAAGAGTTGACTGCAGGACAGGTTAGGGAAATATACAAATCTGGTGAGATTCTCAAAGTAGGAAAGAAACAAATGCACCAGAAATGCACTTAGGGAAGAGTTTTACATGACATTAGCCTTATCTTCCTGATATTCAAATGACTGCCTGAAATGGGAAAATTTTCATCAATTAATTGTTTGCATTTTTCCAACAAATCATTATTGATGGCCTACAAATGTTTTGGCTGAGGAATGATTGGGGAGGGGCATGAAATGAGCAGGCAGAAGGAATATTCAATTTTCAATATAAACCTTTTGTACATTTTGAATTTTGTATAACATACATATGCTGTGTATTCCAAACATGAATAAAATTAAAACTGAAATAAAATAAAATCCAGCCATTCTACATTGCATTTATTAAAAAAAAATGCATTTGGATATGAAGTATCCAGAGTAGGCAAATGCAAAGAGACCAGAGATTCTTAGTAGTTACCAGGGGCGGTTGGGAGAGGGAAACAGGGAGGTATCGCATAAGGGTACTGAGTTTCTGTTAAACAAAAACCAAACACACTCGCTGTCGAGTCGATTCCAACTCATAGTGACCCTATAGGACAGAGTAGAACTGTCCCATAGGGTTTCCAAGGAGTGGCTGGTAGATTCGAACTGCCGACCTTTTGGTTAGCAGCCAAGCTCTTAACCACTGTGCCACCAGGGCTCCGAGTTTCTGTTGAGGGTGATGAGAACATTTGGAAATGGATATTGGTGATGGTTGTACTGCAAGTGAGCATAAGTAATGTCACTGAAATGTACGCGTGAAAATGGTTGTAATGACAAATGTTTTGTTATATCTATTTCACAACAATTTTTTAAAAAGTCCTTTTGGTTTCCTTCCACAGCCAGATGATAGACATTTAGCTTGCTGAACACTGTTCTTAGATAGTTTTATTTTCAAATACTTCTGGCCTCCAAATCAATTGATGGGAATGTGATAGGCGGGAAGCAACTATTAGTAATGTATTTCATGAACAAAGATGATGATCTTTTCACACTTTCAGTGGGATATGAATTTGGGGTCATTGTTGTGCCCCACCCTTACCTCCTGCCATAGACTATGGATATATTTACTCTGATTTTATTATTGTTAAATGTTAATTACGGAAGTGACATTTATTAATATTAATGATAATTTTAAGTGCCTGACATTTATAAGTGGTTCATAATTTTCAAACTGCTTTCAGATACATTATCGCAGGTGATCGATGCAATGACCTTGGAAGGTAAGGAAGGCAGTTACAATTATGGCCAATTTAGAGATGAAGCTAAATGAACCTTACATTGCCTCATTTGGTGCCCTCTTGTGACCAAAAGCCCCCATTTGCAGGATAGAGAGAAAGACGTATACAAGTTGTAGGTAGGAGACAAGTAAAAACGCTTGGTACTGAATCAATGGCTTTAGCCTCTTTGACTCCACACTAATTAACTAAGCTAAGGTTCCTAGGCCAATGGGAGTGACTTTGTGGTAAAATTTCAGCTGAAATATGATTCCTGTGTGACACCTCTACACATCAACTTTTTTCCCCTAAACCCACGAATGGGAGGAGATGAACTTATACTTAACAAACACATCCTGATGGGGTGTATGGGCAGGGAGCCTCATTAAATACCAATATCATGTCTAGGCCTGGAAATTGCCAAGAAGTGCTGAACATTTGTGATGATAAAGCAGCAACTGCAGCAATTCATCTGAATCTTGACCACAAGCCCAAAGACAAACCTATCAGCACCCAGCATAATTATAGCATTTGCAGATTAGCTGGAGCACATGCTGCCATGGGCAGGCAAGCTCATTTCTTTCTTATTTTTTTATTCTCATCTGAAACTCAAAGTTACTATCTGGGCAAGGAACAGGAGAATTGTCAATGCCAAGCCCCCTGAACAACAGAGAGTAGATTTACAATTTTATTAGAAAGCTTATCCTGGACCTCTAGAGAGACTAACTGGGGTCTGAGCTAGTCTTTGAATTTGCTGTTCAAGCTTCATGTTTTGATTGAAAGAATAGGAGCAAGGGATGCATTTTGGCACTAATGTTTCAGTCCACGATTCCTCCCCTGCATTTCCCTCTGTAGCTGCTTATGTTTAATTATCCTTAAATATAATTGCTCAACTGAGTATACTGTGACATCAGTCTTAATGTGCCAGTAAAGCTACTACTGTTAACGCCTGCTTCTTCCTAAAGCTACGTTTTACATGTTTGACACTAGCTTTCCTGGGGAAAATGTCCAAATTAGCTCTTTCTTTTCTATTGTAGGCAATGGCTGGATCTTACACGTACAACCAGATCAATTGGTTTGAATGAAATGACTGGTCAATTTCCATGAATTTAGTTGTTAAATCAGTTGACAGTAATGAAGTCACTCCCGAGGTTCACTGTTCAGCCAAAGATTAGACAGGCCCATAAAACAGAACAAGACTAAAGGGGCACACCAACCCAGGGACAAGGACTAGAAGGCAGGAGGGGACAGGAAAGCTGGTAATGGGGAACCCAAGGTTGAGAAGGGAGAGTGTTGACATGTCGTGGGGTTGTTAACCAATGTGATAAAACAGTATGTGTACTAACTGTTTAATGAGAAACTATTTGTTCTGTTAGACTTCATCTAAAGTACAATAAAAAAAAAAAAAAAAGAAATTAGTTGATTTTTTTTCCTTTTTCTTGACTGAATAAATCAGTTTATTTCACTGCATTGCCCAAGTGTTACATACTACTATGACAATTTCATTGTCTTCTTTTGTTGTTGACTCTAAGCGGGAGGCAGTAGAAGGCCACTCGATGCAAAGGACATGAAGTATATAAACCCACTATGATCATAAAGTAATCATTAATTTCGAGAATTAAGCCATTTAGAAATGTGCATATTATGATCAATGAAATGCATCACCCCAAATCCATTCAACACACCAGCACTG